GAGAAGTGACCATTTATGACTCCCAACCAAACCCAGCAGGACGCACCACATTTGCTCCAGAGGCAGGGGTGTGTGGCTGCCTCCTGCCCCTGAAGCTCCACATACCCCTGTCCCATACCCTGTCCTAGAATGTCTGTGAATCCCAGCCACGGACAAGGTGAGGTTCTTGCAGCCACAACCTACTGAGAGGCAAGTATTAACCTGGCCGTGGACTAGTGGCAGGGGCTCCCTGCGCCGTTTCATCTACCCTAGTGTGAGTCCAGCAAGCCATCGTGACCCTTGTCAATGTCAAGTTCTAGCCAGAGGATTGCTATTGTCACACCGTTAGGCTAAATTCGTTCGCCGAGAAGAAACGGGAGTCCAGGACAGGGTTTATCCCAGCCAGAAAGGGACACACTCATTCGTTTTTGTGCTACTATTATTCCAAATTTTCCCGTACCCGTAGACCAGCCCTGAGTTGGGACGTTTCGTGGGTAGAACAAGTTCGGTAGACTGGCAAATGAAGACTGTCAAGAGCCAAAATCTGAGTTGTGACAGGAAACAGGGGACCCGGCAAGCTATACGTACACTGGTGTGAGTCATTAATATCTGTAGGGGCCTGCTCAACACCCTCGTTCGTGGTAAATTCTGGCCAAGGATTGCTACTACCACCCCGTTCTTGCGTGCCGCACCAAAGAGAAACAGAGTCCCGCTCCACGAGGGCAGGGCGATCAGAAAGAGGTCAACTTTTCTGCGCCTACACATATTCCAAATATCGCCATCCTCGTTGATCTGCCCTAATAACGCTGAACGATGCACGGAGCAGAACAAGGACGATGAAATCGGCACGTGTGTCCTGTATGAGGTTGCAGCCACCAGCGAAGGTCGGCACAACCAAGTTCATGAGGTTGATTGGTACTGTAGGTGCCTTCTCATCTTCACAAGATCTTGTTGACGGCACTGTGATAAACTACGCTACGCAACCACCGTATCGTATGGTAGAAATGTCTATTTTCCGCTGTTTTCATTGTGAGAATTGACCTGTCGTATGTATAACACCACTCAGTAAACATTCAGGCAAATATCAGCCCACAATGGCAAAAGCCCTTTGCCGCGTTACGATGACGGGCAGACACAAAGTCAGCTCTAAAGTACGCTTGCATATTAAACTAGACCCAGATTTCAATTAGAATTGAACGCCTTTGAGTTGCATTTCTATTTATTTTGGAATTCAATTGTGAGACTATTAATATTTTGTGCTTAAGGTAGAACAATAAGCACCACCAGTACCAGCGGTCTAGCACTGGAACTAAGGAAGATTCAAAGAAACTCGAACTTGCCAGAAAATAACTTTATCGCTCTTGCACGTTAAGCTCTGTTTACTCAATGGCGCAAATTTCCCGGCAGAGTAATGCTGACCGCCGCCGGGAAAGAGACAAGTGTCGCCTGAAGCTGTCACAGCACATAAGTAAGTGAGCCACAACGAATCGAGATGGCCTATTTTAAGATCAAATAGAGGAACGACTCGGCGTTGTTGTCAACCCATCTGAAGTTAGACTAAACCCTCGACCTCATGATGCGTACGTTTGGAAATCTCTCCCTGGGCATGAAAAAGTTTTTGCTCCAATATTTGGCAAGAACTTAAGTGACCATTCAATTGGAACCTACCGACTTCTTGTCGAACAAGTTGGCTGCACTTTCGAGGCTACTCATCGAGACACAACAATGGGCGATGCTGAAAGAGGGACCTTGTTGGTAAATTAGCCCTTGCTTGTTCCCGCAATGGTGTTGTTGTGACACACTCTAACGAACTCCTAGCTTTCCGATGCGCAAACAAGCTTCAGTGTAGAGATTGAGCGTTTGACAGCCGAGAATAGAGCGCTGTCGGAACAGATCTGTCAACTATCAAGCGCCTTGGCGAGCGAAATAGAACATAGAAAGGTGGCGGAAGAAGATAATAGACTTTTAGGCGATAAGCTGCGAAATCAACTGCAGAAATATTCGCACGCAGCGGGCTGTTTGCAAGAATTGCTTTCTAAGAATTTCGCGGGGATCGAAAATAGTTTGTCTATTCTTGCCGAGATTCGCCAGCAAGCAGGCGGGGAGACTTGAAATTACTACAAATCACCGAGATTGGTGATATTTTTTGGACGGCTACACAAAGATTACTCCTTACAAATTTCCTCTCGTACAGCCTGAGGAAAATTCGAGAAAAAATCGTTCTTTTTCTTGAAAGCCTCGAGATGTCCAGCTAAACGCCTGCGTTGCAATCTGCCATTGGAATCGAACAAGTCATTTAATGTCATATCTAATAAATATTAATTTTTAAATGGAAGCATTATACACGTGTATTGTGTTACCTCTAGACATTTCCGCACATGTTCGCGGCAGGATGCACACGTGAAATATTGTCTTGTTCAACTATTTGAAACTAGACCCTTTGATCTTACCACACCCTATACTGTAGTTGAAGGGAAGCCACTATGCTAATTACTGTTGTGTCTGCATCCAATTACAGATGGAAAGCGTCTGGAGCTAAGGATATTTCTACACACGTTACATTACCATGGCATTAACATCCTTGTTCTCCGATACCGTAGTAAATATCAGCACCTGATGTACGTACTGGTGGAATGAATATGTAGCAGCATGTGGATGAGTTGACTGTTTTAACCATCACATCAAGTCTTTCGCTTTGATACCGATATTGAGCTTGTATGGCTATTCCGTGTCGCCGTGAGGTCTGTGACCCTGAGCAGCCGTTTCGAGAGGTGGTCCAAGGGATAAAAATGGTGACGCTATGTTCGGGAAAGTAGAGTACTAAAGTAGCCAATCCCATAGCTGGTAGGAGCCTTGCAAAGGGCCACTTTCGGCGTAGAGGAGATTACAAGCTTGGTATTTGGCAGCACCACAACTACTCGCTGCATGGGTCCAATTTGGCCCAGAATCGCGCAAAGAAAGTTCTGATATATCCTATGCTTACACCTATCCAGCCCCCAACGGCTGTAATACATGTATTTACAACATGCATCTGTGCTTATTTCTAATTATTGTTCCATTTACGCAAGGACTGTCGCAAGTAAGCGTGGTGAACCGATGTCCATTCGTCGTGTTTCTGAAGTCTGTTCAACAAGATGTGTCGCAGGTACAGGAGTTAGGCTTCAGCCAGATTTATAGCGAAGCGTATCGGCCTGTTATAAACGGTACTGGCGTATCAATAAAAATAACAACTAATAGGAAGGTTGGTGAGGAGGTTGATGAGCAGAAGCGTTCGGCGGAATTCGACAACAGCCCTGTTACCCAGCTTGAGTATTCCTATGTTCCGTCGAATGGTCCTGTAGACCTATTTTACGACATCTCTGCCATAGACGACTCACCGGAGAGGCAATTCTGCCAATATGGCTACCAGCTCCATACAACATCATTCAGGTGTGACTCAGTTCATTGTCCTACACGGTGTGATGCATTTTGCCCGCATGTTTACAACCTTCCGGATGATAACTGGGCTACACATGGTTGCACAAGCGATGTCGGACTTGAGCTTGTTCTCTGCACTTCTTATACGGATATGCCCTAAGTCTCTGGTCTGTTGGTGTGTATGTGGTTAAATCAACGCTGTACTTTGGACGGATAGTCGGCTGTAGTTTAAACGAGTATCTGTGCCTCCTGGGTTTTGGTAGACTCGCAGTTAGATTGACAGACTGTAACGGGCCAAGCCGCTTGAACGGCGGCTGTGCCGCCTATCACTAACTGCCCCAGCGGGATGACTCTAGAACCTTTGTTCTGTCGTCACCCTCGCCTCGTTGATCCTGTGCAGATAGCTGTTGAGCCTGCACTTGCCTGTTCGTAGCTGCACCAGTATTCTGGCCTCTTGTCCACTGAGGTCGTCGTAAATCGTTCGCGTGTGCTTACCCGGGAGGGCTATGTCGATGCGCTGGGAATACTTTCCTACACCTGGCGGTATCCTTCTCTGCCGCTGCTGCTGCCTGCAGAGCAACAACCTTGTTCTCGTAGCCCGTGCTTGATAGATTGCTCTCCCTTGGGTGCACCCTTCTTTCGTTGCTTCGCGGGCTGCTGCTTTAGCCACCGTGACGACTGTCACGTTCTTGTGTCGCAGCG